TAGGCAGAAAAGTGTGATTTGCAGATGAAGGAACATATTGGAATGTATCTCTTGACATTGTTTTTGCCTTTTTCTTTCTTAGCTGTTCTTTCTCTCTCTCCAGTCTGCATCCACCTGTGCTCTCAGTCTGCTAGTTTTATCCCACTCTGGTCCCCAAGCTGAGTGAATTGGCCTATGAACTGCATCTATGCTCCAGTAATAGGAATTAATTGTCACGTGGTCCTCAAGCCATCTAGCGCCAGCCATAATGAGGAGTAAGAGAATCACCTTATTTCCACGTAGGGGGTCCTCTGATCCCAAGCATGCTTCTCCTCTCCTAACCTTACTCCATTCCCCTCACCCCCAATTCCTATTATTGACTCAGTTCATAAGTCTGGTCTCTACCTTAGTCCCTACTCCTTAATCCTGATTACCTGTTTTAAATCCCAGATTCCTCAAGAACTGGAGCCACTGGGGCCTTAAATGAACTGTCTTGATAAGAAGTGGTAATGGTTAAGGTGAATATGATTAATTTTGTTTCAAAATATCATTATAGATTTTCATTAGAAAATTTTATGTAACAAGTGCTCAATAAGATCATAGAAATTTGAAACTCATTCATTTCGTAGTATTATTTAAAACTATTAGAGCTGATGAGATAATAAGGACTCAGCCCTGGGGATTATTCATTTATGAAACATGAAGAATATCCTGTTAGAATCTTCAAAATCTATTCCCTGGAAAGTCCCTCTTCAGACTCTTTCTAAATGTCTGCCAGGAAGATGTTCAGGGGCACTGACTTCTTATCACCATTAGCATTTATTAATCACCAATTTTTAAATTAAAGGAAGAATGGATACTGATGATGGCAGAGAAGGGCAATGAAAGTTTTCAAGGGACCAAGAAAATCCTTCAAGGAAGAAAAAGTCTGGGTAGGTCAAGAATACAAGGACATGAGATCCAGAAATCATACTTTAAAAATTTACATAATTATTACTTGTTGATAAAGGAAAAAAAAACTATTACAAGTTATATGAGAATTCTTATATTGGATGCAATACTGATATCTAAGTAAACACCAGGAGTCTTGCTATATACAACATTAATCAGTTAAAATGAGGGAGAAAAATAATGGGAAAAGGGTTCATTTATAATAGGTCAAAGCATAAATCTAATTAATTACAATGAATATTACCGTATTTGCCGGCATATAAGACGATTTTTTGGCCCTGAAAAATATGCCTCCAAGTGGGGGGTCGTCTTATACGCCAGGTACACTTCAGATAGACTGCCCATAGTGCTGCCCCGTGCCATAGTGGCCTCCCGATGCCCGCCCCCTTCATTCCATAAAATCAAATCTGATATTGTTTTACCTTTTATTTGGTGTGTGGAAGGTGTGCGGAAGAGGGGGTAGTCTTATGCGGCGAGTATATAACAAACTCTGTATTTTGAGTGGAAATGTTAGGGGGTCGTCTTATACGCCCAGTCGTCTTATACGCCGGCAAATACGGTAACTAGAATGTTCTAAATGTATTTGAAGAAATATTTTAAATGCTAATACATGGTACCAATGAAGACTTGAACATATAGAAAGACATATTTTGTTTGGTCTTGGGTAGAAAGATGTGATATTTAAAAAAGGTAATTCTCTCTATCTTAATCCATAATATCACCACAAACCCAACAAAATACAGAAAATTTGAGGGTGGGTGGTGACTAAAAAGCTGAATCTAAGTTTAATGAGAAACATGCAATGACACACAGGAAAATCCTGAAATATAAAATTACTGCCTAATCCTACCCAAACAACATGGGCCTGACATAAGAAAAGAGGGAGCAATCAATGAAAAATGATAGAAATTGTTTTTTAGAACTTTGCCCAAATATAAATAGGAATTTAACATGCAATAAAGGTGGCTTGCAGATCAGTGGGAAAGAAGATTGATTATTTAATTAATAAATCTGGACAATATTGTGACTATCTAGAAACACACACAAAATTGGATTTTTAACTTACTCCTTACACCAAAATAAATTCTAGGTTAATCAAAGATTTAACAATATAATTATTTAAATCATAAGAAAACAAAGTAAATTTTCTTTATACTTTTTTCCATTGGAAAGTCCTCTCTAAATATGGCTGCAAACTCCAGAAGCCATAAACGGAAAAAAAAATTAAAAACATTTAAAAATCCTATATAGCTAAAACCACTATAAAAAATGTTAAGCAAAAATTGTAAGAAAATATTTGTAATACATATAAAAAAGATAATTTCCCTAATATGAAAATCATTCCTATAAATAAGAAAATATCACCCAATAGGAAATGAAAAAAGGCTAAATTTAAAATTCAAATGAACGTTAAACATTAAAAGGTTCTCAACCTTACTCTTAAGAAATATACATTAAGCTAGAAAGATATACCATATTTTATCCACTTGATCAGCAAGATTAGAAAGATTGATAATTCACTAGGTAGGTAAAGGTGTGAAGAAACAGGCATTGCCCCAGCTAGTTTGGCTCAGTGGATAGAGCATCAGCCTTTGGACTGAAGGGTCCTGGGTTCAATTCTGGTCAAAGGTGTTACAGAAAAACCAGAGAAGAACCAAGCAACGCTTAGAGAGATGAAGTTACATTTATTAGGCGTGCGCCCAGAGGAAAATGTTTCTCAAATTCTGGGTGAAATCACACAGGAATTGTACTGTATTTATACTATCTTATCCTCTTTGTCTTCCCAAAATGGGGGTTTTCCGGTTCCCTTTGCAAGTTCTTAAAGGGCCCTATGTGCTAGCACTTTGAGAAGTCGACCAAAGGCTTGGCCTGATGCCAGCACTGATAACTTTGTCTAGGGAAGGTTTAATGGCCTCTTTGAAATGGGAGTAGTCTTATTTTCCTTATTATTTAAGCCAGCAAGCATTTACAGAAGCCAGAAATAATAGGGTTAAAATTTCAAACAGCAGTTTTTATATAGATGGATGCTTCAAAGGCACATGCCCAGGTTGCAGGCTCCATCCCCAGTAGGAGGCATACAGGAAGCAGCCAATCCATGATTCTCTCTCATCATGGATGCTTCTCTCTCTCTCTCCGTCTCCCCTCCTCTCTGAAATCAAAAATATATTTAAAAAAAACAGGCACTCATATATTGATGTGGGAGTGCATATTAATACATTTGTATGAAGTGCTATTAGACAGTATCTATTAATAAGCAAATGTACATACCCTTTGACCTAGCAATTTATCTTTTAGATTTGATATAATTGCACCTATGTGAAATGAACATATTTAAAAGAATATTCAGCCCTAGCCAGTTTGGCTCAGTGGATAGAGCATCGGCCTACAGACTGAAGGCTCCCAGGTTCAGTTCTGGTCTAGGGCACATGCCCAGGTTGCAGGCTCAATCCTCAGTGTGGGGCATGCAGGAGGCAGCTGATTCATGCATTCTCTCTCTTCATTGGTGTTTCTCTCTTTCTCCCTCTCCCTTCCTCTCTGAAACCAATAAATAAATAAATAAATAAATAAATAAATAAATAAATAAATATATATATTTTAAAAAGAATAATCACTGTTGTGTGCATGTAAATCCAAAATAATAGATAAAATGTAACTATCCATTGAATAAGAGAATAACTAAGTACATTTTGGTATGTCCATGAATGGAGTAACAAGGAGTAGTTAAAGATAATGAGAGAGCTCTATATGTATGGATCCTGATATGAAATGACCTTGAAGGTATATAAAGTAGAAAAGCATCAGCATCTTTTGGCTGCTACTCCACATTTATATCTATACTAGAGGCCCGGTGCACAAAAATTTGTGCACTCACGGGGAGGGGGGTTCCTCAGCCCGGCCTGTGCCCTCTCACAGTCTGGGACCCCTCAGGGGATGACCACCTGCTGGCTTAGGCCTGCTCCCCAGGGGATTGGGCTTAAGCTGGCAATCAGACATCCCTCTGGCAGCCTGGGAGCCCTCGGGGGATGTCCACTTGCCAGCGGGGAGCAGGCCTAAACTGCATTCGGACATCCTTAGTGCTGTTGAGGAGGTGGGAGAGGCTCCCACCACCACCGCTGTACTGGCAGCCATCAGCCTGGCTTGTGGCTAAGCAGAGCTTCCCCATGTGGGC